GGAGTTATTACAAGTTAGTGATAGTGTATTCTGGTCATCCTCTTGGCCTATGGATCATAGGGTTCCAAATGTTTAGGAATGAATTATGGTTGAACATTGCTAAGGTTTGCCTTCGACTGGCTTACGATGTGGAGGGGGAGACAAATGCCCACAATTGACTGGTTTGAGATAGACATAATGTAAGTAAAACTTACATACTCACTTATCTAAAGAAGCGGTATATAAAAACAGGAAACATTCTGTTGTCTTGTGCATTGGTGGTTCAGTGGTAGAATTCTCGGCTGCCGCGCGGGGGCCAGCCGCGTATAGTGGGCATATCGTGCCAGCCAATCAGAATGAGCCTGTCAGCCACGTGCCTTTGTGATGAAGTCCAACCAATCAAAATGCAGGGATATTTACAGATGCGAGTTCGAAACCCGTCTCACCCCAAATAAATCAAACTTAATTAAAAGTTTAAAGTTAATAACTGGGTCTCATTTTGACCTTAAGAACAGCCACATTACCTTTCAAGTACATAAATGTAACTATTAGAGAGCTTTTTTGAAATGTAAAACTTGAAATGATCAGTGAATTGACAGTAATATTAACAGCAATGTCATGAAACCTTTTGACCTGCACAAAGTGTGAGTGTGTGAAGATCACAGAGGCTTATCCCCAAAGGCCTCACACACAGGTTAAAGGTCACACCTCCTCAGGATGGGAAAAGTGTTGATCAAGGGATTTAGACAAACACACCTGGAATATCCCAGAGGTGAGAACTCTGCAGGAGGTGCTTTGAACAAGTTCAACAATAGCTGCTTTGATCCCACTGACACTGAACTGAAACTCTATTTTCTATACAGATTGTTTTGTTAAATACTACTGTTGTTTGCCCTGAAATATGATCAATAAAAAGAAAGACTTCAATAATGTATGACATTATAATATATTTATTGTGAACAGATGAAAAAAGATATTTACAAATTTAAGAAATACACCTAGAAGAAAAACAACAACATGCTATCTTTATCTTCTTAAACTAGTATTTGTGTGATGAGCCCTGTGACTGTGACGGCTGAGAGCTGACTATACAGAACTGTAGATGCAGACTTTACAAATGAAATGATATAATTAGATATAATCAATATTAAGTATATATTTACATAATAATTAGAATATTTAGAAACATGTATGAACAGACAGGTGTAATATAGTAACTATATACAATAGCACCAATGGACAGCAGATAGCTCATTTATTTACACGCCACCTTTCCCTCTCCCGGTCATAAAAAGGAGACTGCTGGAACATCTGCGTCTCCATCCCCTGGTCCTTGTACAGGGAGAATACTTTGGCAGGGCAGTAGATGTATTTTCCTGACAGACCAGGGAATTGTGTATGAATGTGAGGACTGTTTGGTCCCTGCTTCAGTTGCAGTTTGCAGAACCCGCACTTTCTCCCAGTGGCAGGAGACTCATCTCTCTTCCTTTTCTTCTCCTGCCGCTCATTCACTCTCTGCTGCGTGGCCTCCAGCTCTCTCTGGTAGAACTCAGTGTCCATAAAGTCTCGGAATGGCATCCTGGAGTTGGTCAAACCCTCTGTGCGATAGGTGCTATAGACCTTGGTGGACCAATAGAAATACCTGGTAGGACCCGGCTGGTAAAACTCGTGGATGGAGCTGCCATCGCCCTCATATTTGGATTTTGGCTGGCCACAAGACAGACATTTCTTTGTGTGGGGTTTATTTGCTGGAGGCTGCTGCTGCTTTTCCAAGATCCGCTGCACAACCTTCTCTATGGCCTCCTCAGACAGCAGTGACATGAGTCTGAGCAGGAGGAGCGGGGGTCACTGCTGCAGGGGGCATGGTGACAACAGGCACGATGCTGGTCTTACTGCCTGCTGTGAGCGATGTACTCCCCCAGCACTTCAGCCTTGTCTGAGGCATCACCTCCTCTCACTCGCACCAGAGTGAGGGCGTTCTCCCTCACCACCTCCTCCCTCTGAGGAGCACCGCACTCCCTCATGGACGGGTCGTCCCTGATCTTCCTCGCCTCCTCCGAAGGGTCCTGCAGCAGGAATCCACGTGGGCCCTTGTGAAAAATCACAGTGACGCGGCCAGGAAAGAATGAAAATGTCTTCATATTGTCTGCAACAACAAAAAAAGATCATAAAATATCTAGCTATAGCATGATAGAGAAGTATGTATAATGTATATCTTTAGCATAATAAAGAATAAAATAATTAAATTTAGCATAATAAAGAAGAATGAATCCTGTATAATCTAGAGAAGACATATACAGTTGTATGTTTACATCTGGACATTAGCAGCATGAGGCTCTGGGATACAGTAAGTACAGTTATAGAAGGAAAATATGAACTGGTAAAACACTAATACATTGTCGTAAACTAACTGCATATAATTCATTTTCAACTCAATGTGTTGCTGAGCTATAGAAATGTGAAATACATATAGATAGTACACACATCAACAATAAGCATACTGCACACTACAGTACAACAGATGGAGCAAACTGTATTATACACTTATTTTGGAATCATGTGACTAACAGTACTATGCCTGTCACACATTATTAGCCATAAATCACGTTTATGAGACAATAGTAAGTGAACAGAGAAAGAGCACAGTGACAACACTGATCCAAACTCACAGCAGCACTTATACACAGCCTGTTACGACAACTATGTGCATTAAGCTTATCAAAAGTGCATTTGATCTGTATACAGTGTGCTTTAGCTCACGTGTGTACATCCCAAAACACCGCGTTAACTAGCGCTGGAAATACTACTACAACTTGACGTAAACAAACTGCATTACTGTATACAGTAGAATACAGTGAATACAGATTGTTTGACAACGCAGAGAAAGTGTTTTCTTTACAATATTGATCCAAACAGAGAGATCTACGAGCAGCAGCAGCAGCAACAAACATATGACACGGAGGTAAACAATAATAAACAGCGCACTACACACTCGAGATTTAAACTACAGACGTGTGTGAACGATCTACGCACAATATGAGAGATTTATGGAGTGAAACATAAAGAACGGGCACAAAAACATTGTGTTTATCAGAGGAGACTTACCGAGTGCGTGTGTAATCCACAATGAATGGAGAAAGCCGGCTCTCTCCGTTTTAGAGCAGCGCGCACACGTCACTTCCGCTGGCACCGGAAGTGACGCATGAAAGTTTTCCCCATTCACTACCGTTGAAAATGGTTTAGCTCTGTTTAGGTAAACTATTCTCGGCTGCCGCGCGGGAGGCCCGGGTTCGATTCCCGGCCAATGCAACGCACTTTTTTCCCGTCAAGAAGATCTCCTTGGATTACAATCTCCTCAACCTTAATTATTTTCTTGTGTTGCGTGAAATGTAAATGTGAACATTTAATTATTGTTAATTACAACTTATAAATATTGGGCTTCTAACCAAAGGTAAGTTTCCTTCTTGTTTCTGTTACAGAAACAACAGATTTTATACATATTATTGATGCCACAGTTAGAGATTGTTTTATTTAAATAAGTGATTTTGGATTTGAACATCAACATGCAGGTTACATCTGCTCCCAGCCCCATTTCTTTTTATTGTTTTACCTATTTTACCTGATATGACTTTATACTTGTGTATGTGTGTGTGTGTGTGTATATGTGTCTGTGTGTGTGTATATGTGTGTGTGTGTATACGCATGTGGTTGTATATATAATTATAAATGTGGTTTTGGGGGGTCTGTGGGGAGGAGGGTTTAGGGCTGGTCATGTTGGATTGTTTTTAACTAAACTGTAAAGCACTTTGTGTTACACTTTTTGTATGAAAAGCGCTTTATAAATAAAATTTGATTGATTGATGTCAAAATTCGCCAGTTACCCATCTGAGAACAATATCCCTGGTGAAATTAGGAGTTCTCATGCATTGGTGGTTCAGTGGTAGAATTCTCGCCTGCCACGCGGGAGGCCCGGGTTCGATTCCCGGCCAATGCAACACGCTTTTTTATTATCAATCAATCAAAGTTTATTTGTAGAGCGCCTTTCATACACATGGCAACACAAAGCGCTTCACAGTCCACATCACAAATCATCACATAAAACAAACACCAGAATCACAATTAAAACATTAAAATCACACAAAAGATTAAAACACAATTAAAACATTAAAATCACACAAAAGAATAAAACCATTAAAACTTTCAAAATTACACAAGAAATTTAAAAAAATAAATAAATGACAGCAGTGCATTAAAAATGGAGATAAAATCCTTCAGTTGTATGCACAGGCAAACAGAACAGTCTTTAACCTGGATTTGAACATTGACAGAGTAGACGCCTCCCTCACATTTTCAGGGAGATTGTTCCAGATCTTAGCTGCATGGATCTGAAACGCAGCCTCCCCATGTTTGGTTCTCACTCTGGGCACCAGCAGGAGGCCAGTCCCTGTGCTCCTCAGAGTCCGGGCTGGTTCATATGACACCAACATGTCACTAATGTATTCTGGTGCAAGGCCATGGAGAGACTTGTACACAAGCAGAGCCGTTTTAAAATCTATTCTTTGAGCCACAACGTGTTAATTACGATTAATTAACGCCACAAAATTAGTTTGTTTAAAAAATTGACGCATTTTCATCGCATGTGTTTTTTCCACCGCGGACCTTTCCTCACTGGAGGATGAGTTTCAGACGGACCGATTATACTGGAGCGTCAACTGAGCTCCGTGACTTTTCTTGTTCAAAAGTACATCATAACAAGCAGGGCTAGGCGATATAAACGGTATTGTGGGAGAAGCAAACGGGAGACGAAAAGCTGAGTCTCACTGTATTTATTCCCAACACTCATTACACACAGGTGGCAACACTCCCCTCTTATCCCTCATCCCCTGGAACCCCAGCTCCTTCACAATAACACATTTGTGTGTGCGTTCACCAGCCACCACACAGGCCCCCCCAGAACACACAAATGAACACATTACTCTAACCCCACAAAACAAAAAAGGTACACACAAAGAAAATCTAACCGGCCGCCGGACCACTCTACCCCCCCGACTCCGCTTAACCGGCGTAGCCATCCGGGCAGGGACAGGCAGGGGCTCCACTACCGGGGCAGGATTAGGCGGGCGGCCCCGCCGAGCAGGGCGGACCCACTCCACATCCTCCTCCCGGAGCACATGAGCAGGCTTCAAGCGGTCCACCATGACCCGATCTCGGCCAGCCCCAATCTCAACCAAAAAATACTTGTCCCCTGTCTCCAGCATCCGGAACAGGCCATCGTAAGGCGCCTGCAAGGGAGAACAGTGTGCGTCATGACGTACAAAAACATATCTGGCCGACATAAGGTCCTTAGGAGCATGGGCCTGAGGCACACAGTGGTGCGCCGCAACCGGTCTGAAAGCTCCTGCCGGGGAAAAAGGCAGCGTAGCCACCCTCGCAACCAGGCCAGGGGCGGTATGCAGAAACTCCCCCGGGACCCTCAGTGTCTGTCCCAGAACCAACTCAGCAGAGGAGGAGCGCAGATCCTCCTTGGGGGCGGAGCGTAAACCCAACAAAACCCACGGCAACCTGTCCACCCAGCTATTGTCCACCAGAGAGGCCCGGAGGGCACCTTTCATAGTCCGGTGAAACCTCTCGCACAACCCGTTAGCCTGCGGATGATATGCCGTGGTCCGGTGAAGTTTAACCCCCAAGCTCCCAGCCACTGAAGTCCACAGCTCCGAGGTGAACTGGGGGCCCCTATCGGAAGTCAGGTCGAGAGGAACCCCAAACCGCGCCACCCACGAATAAATAAAGGCCCGGGCCACGTCTGCCGAAGTAGTAGACGACAGGGGCACTACCTCCGGCCATCGAGTGGTCCTGTCCACCATGGTCAGGAGGTGAGTGAACCCCCGGGAAGGGGGAAGAGGGCCCACCAAGTCCACATGGACATGTTCAAAACGTCTCTCGGGAATTGAAAAAGGACCCAAGGGAGCTTTAACGTGACGCTGCACCTTGGCCCTCTGGCAGGCCACGCATGTGGAGGCCCAAGTCTTAACGTCCTTTTTGAGGCCAGGCCACACGAACTTAGCGCTCACCAACTTCACCGTCGCTTTCACACCGGGGTGAGACAGGGAGTGTACAGCCTCGAAAATGCGGGAGCGCCAGGCCGCAGGTACCAAAGGACGTGGTCTGCTCATGGACATGTCACACAGAAGCGTCGCCCTACTGTCCTGAAAAACCACATCTTCCAACCTCAAACTAGAGTCAGTGGTGCGCAGCGCTTGCACCTTCGAATCCGCCAGCTGGTCCACCGCCATCTCTGCATAGTCAATGCCTAACTGAACCGTGGAAACCTGAGCCCGAGAGAGACAGTCCGCTACTGCATTGTCCTTCCCTGCAACATGTCGAATATCACAAGTAAACTCAGAAATAGCAGAAAGCTGCCTTTGTTGCCGCGCCGACCATGGTTCAGAGGTTTTGGCCATAGCAAATATAAGGGGCTTGTGATCCACATAAGCAGCAAACTCTCGGCCCTCCATGAGAAACCTGAAGTGGCGTGTGGCAAGAAAAAGGCCAAGAGCTCCCTGTCAAACGCACTGTACTTCCTCTCTGACTCGCAACCTTCTACTAAAAAAGGCTAGTGGCCGCCAGGCACCATCTGACCACTGCTCCACCACTGCCCCCACCACGCAATCAGACGCATCGGTAGTAAGCGCGGCAGGTGCAGTAGGATCGGGATGCGTTAACAGCGCAATCCCCGCCAGTGCAGTTTTAGCCCGGTCAAACGCCAACACCCTTTCCGGGGACCACTCTATGACTTGGTTACCCCTCTTACCCCTCAAAGCGTCATACAAAGGGTGCATAAGGTGGGCGGCATGGGGGATGAAGAGGTTATAAAAGTTAATCATGCCCAAAAACTCCTGCAATGGCTTCACAGAGGAGGGGCGGGAAAAAGCTAAAACTGCTTCGACCTTAGCAGGGAGTGGTACAGCACCCTGCCTCGAAACGCTGTGTCCCAGGAACTCAATCTCCGACAGTCCAAATTGGCACTTTACCGGATTCACAATCAACCCATGTTCGGTGAGCCGCTGGAAAAGGAGGCGGAGGTGTAAGCTGTGCTCCTCCGTGGAAGGACTTGCCACCAGAATATCGTCCAGATACACAAATATGGAGGGCATGTCTCGCAAAACAGAGTCCATTAACCGCTGAAAGGTCTGTGCTGCCCCCTTAAGGCCAAATGGCATTCTCAAAAACTCGAAAATGCCAAAAGGCGTAATAACAGCAGTCTTAGGGAACATCTTGCGGGTGGACTGGCACCCGGTGGTAACCTCTAACCAAATCCACCTTCGAAAACACGACAGCCCCCGCCATGTGCCCAGAAAAATCCTGAATGTGGGGGACCGGGTACCTGTCGTTGGTCGTGGCATTGTTGAGGCGACGGAAATCCCCACACCGGCGCCAAACACCGTCGGATTTGGGAACCATGTGCAAAGGCGAAGCTCACGGGCTGTTTGACCGGCGCACGATTCCAAGTCTCCCCATGTTGGCAAACTCCTTTTTAGCAACCAACAATTTTGCCGTATCTAAACGGCGCACGAGCGAAAACTGGCGGGCCCACGGTAGTGATATAATGCTCCACCCCGTGCTTACTACTGCCGCAGAAAATGTGGGAACCGTAAGGGCAGGAAACTCTGCTAACAGACGCTGGTACGAGTCACCAACGGCCAGCATGTTAGCCAGAATGTGCCCAGCTTTCCTCAGCGTACATGGATGGGAATTAAAAGACACGGCATCAATCAAACACCTGTTAGACACATCCACTAACAGCCTGAATGCACATAAAAAATCTGCACCCAGGATAGGAACTGACACAGAAGCAATCACAAAGTCCCAGCTAAATCCACGGCCATTAAAACACACTGTCAAAAACCTGGTGCCAGAGGTGCGGATGGGAGTCCCGTTAGCTGCGTCCAGCGGAGGGCCCCGTCCTTGCCCAGTAGCGTCGGCCTTGGAGGGGGGTACGATGCTGTGTTGCGCTCCAGAATACACGAGAAAACGACGTCCTGAAGCCCCATCCTCAATGAAAAGCAGCCTGTCCTGGTCACCGGTGCAGGCAGCTGCTAGCGAGCGCCGGCCCTCCGGGTACTCCGGTTTCCCCTACCACTAAAAATATGTACAATAGGTCTGGCATGCGCCTCCTGTTCGGCGACCCCGCTCCCATCTCTGTGTGGAGTGAGAGGACAAGTGCCCAAAAAATAACAATTGTAAACCGCTTTGTGACTCTGGTCTGTGAAAGGCGGTATATAAATAAAGCTTACTACTACTACTACTACTCTAGTTTCCCGACTGCTGAAAAGAGCACGGTGGGATGCAACGGCGAGCCTTGGTTCCAAAGCGGCGGTGGTAGAAACAGAGGCTTTCCTTCTTGTCTCGTCGATCCGTCACAGCCGTCACGTGCACGCAGACATCCTCCTCACACGCATCCGGAGGCACCAGCGCATGCACCGAAAACTGCCTGGATGTGT